AAAGGTCTGATTACCCTTTAAAAAAATAATATCATCTATCTCACAGGATTATGAATATTAAAGGAAATACAGTATATAAGCAAATTTACAATACCACTTCACAGTATGGGTGGCCCATAGAGACAAGAGATCTGATAGCATTTAAAGCAGAAGTACTATAAGGTTATTTCATCATCCAAATCCTATTCCTCCTAAAATTCAGCCTGACAATATAATAAAGGTATCCATCCTACCACTCCCTGAGAACTATCAGTACAAGCTACCAAGTCCCTCACTCTGACAAGTGACCAGAAGACTTCCGACTGATCATCACAACATTGTGTTGCACCTCCTGCTTTGAACAACAGGTACAACATTTCTGTAGCCAGGCAGATCAGGCAGCCTACAACTGTGCTCAGCCCAGAAATGTGTTCTGGCTTACAAGGCAAGTTTTGAAATGGCAAATTTTTAAACTAAGTAAATGAAAATCCAGATTTCTAGCACAGACAGAGACCTTGCTGTGTTGCCCAGACTGGCCTGGAACTCCCGGACTCCTGCCTCAGCTTCCCAAGTAGCTAAGATTAAGCACATCACCGTGACCAACTAGACTGCTGGCTTTCAACTGTGCATGTACTCCCCGGGTCACCAAGGCCCATCCCACTCACCATAGCACATACTGGGCACTGGACTTGGAGCCACGTGAGGTGGATGTCACATATGGAGACACCTGGGTAACATAAGTCACTCCAAGCCGTAAGCTACTCCAGTGTTACATAGGGATACCACCTAACTCACAGAATTACGACAATTCAAAGAAATAAGGTATACAAAAGCATTTGACAATACCTGAAATATATATAGTACACAATCATTTTAAATTCCACACCAGGTAAAATGTACTAACTTCTGAGTTAAAACTTCTCAAAAACTTCAAACTCTCAGCAAACACAAGGTCAGGGCTCCTCAAATCAGGAAAAAAAATGTAATGTGAAACAATTCCTTGTCCTATGATAATCTGGTATTTCTCATTGTGTCCTTAACGGTAAGGCTTATATGTTAGAGTAACAGATTTCAAACAAATTATCTTAGCCTGAAACAAAAATCTACTGAACTGCCATGGTTTCTTTCAAATCTTCAGTTGAATCAACAAGCAAATAAAAACCCTTCACCAAAAAGAAATATATTTGAAGTGACAGATTAGGGCTAGGTGTGGTGGCCCACACTGTAATCCCAGCACTCTGAGAGGCTGAGGCAGAAGAATAGCAAATTTCAGCCCAGTCTGGGCAATTCGGCAAACTGACAAGACCCTGTCTTAAAATAAAACAATTTTAAAAGGCTGGGGATGTAGTTCAGTGCAAAATCCCTTGGATCAGTCCCCAGTACCACCAAAATTGGAGAAGAAAAGCCAGACTAATTCTTTCAGTGCTTTCATTCCTCCTTATTTCCACTGCCTAACAATGATGGGCTCACTATATCTACAGCTCAAGGGCTGCTCCTGTCTGACCCTCTCCATCCACATCACAAGCAACATGGTGACTATAGAAAAGTTGACAGTCCAAGGTCCAGCAATCAATCCCTCTAGCATGGCCCCACCAGCTGTATAAACTCAAAGATTATGGATTTTTGCTTTTGGTGCTGGGGGTGAACACAGGGCCTTAAGCACAACTAAGCATACACTCTACCTCAGAGCTACACCCTTAGGCCTCAAGGAAGTCATTTAACGTCTCTGTTCGAGGTTATTTATGCTCTGTTAGAGACCTCTCCTAGTTTCCTTCTCTATAAAACCAGGATTCTACTAATACTTTCTCATTTAGGAATAAGTAAGATAAAACATTTTGCACAATGCTGGCACACAGCGAGCACACATCAGCAGTCATGATCACTGTTCCCCTCTTTGGGCTTCACAGGAACTGGTGGGGACCTACAGTGCCTGTAGTACTTTACTATAGTTCACCTGCACACACATCTCCCCCACCAGAATGTCAACAGCCTCTGGGCAAAGAACTGGTTTTACTACTTTTTGTATCCCAGGATCTAACATTCTGCCCAGCAATGCTGAATGATCCTCAAAGTTGTTTATTAATGGGAAGTTGAGTAGAAATTGGAATTTACCTTCTATTGTCAGGCACTGGAGCCCTCATTGACTCTGACTTCACTGACCCTCAATTTTATCACCAGCAGGTAATGACTTGGTTTACTTAGGTCAGAAATTCATTCACCACTCTAAAACCACGACTCAGGCATTATACCTATGCATCCTACAGCTATTATTTCAGGGCACCTTACCATATACAGGTTGAGTAATCCATATCAAAAACTCTAGGGATTAGATGTGTTTCAGAATTCGGATTTGGGAATATCTGAACAGACTTTACAAATTCAAAATCTAAAATCTGAAATTATCACTCAAAGTTGCAAATTTTTAAAAAATACACACTGGACCAGGTAACAAAAGCAAAGCAGGAAGCATCACAATCCCAGATTTGAAGTTATGTTGCAAAGCTACAGTGATAAAAACAGCATGGTACCAGCACAAAAACAAGACATATGGATCAATAAAACAGAATATAGGGAAGAGAAATGACCCCAGGCACATTTAGCTACTTGATCTTTGACAAAGGGGCCAAAACATTAAAGATAACCTCTTCAATAAATGGTGCTGAGAAAACTGGCTCTCCTCATTCAGAAGACTGAACCTACATTTATATATCTCATTATGTACTAAACTAAAATCAAAATGGATCAAAGATCAAAATATTAAAACAGAAACAATCTACTGGAAGATAAAATCGGTGAAACTCTTGAAAACATAGGTATAGGCAAGAACTTTCTGAACAGAACTTCAACAGCACAAGAAATAATACTAAGAATCAACAAATGAGATTATATTAAATTAAAAAGCTTCACACAAAGAAAAGAACCAACAGAGTGAAAAGACAATCTACAGCATGGGAAAGTATTTTGCCAACTATTCTGCAGATGGAGAACTAACACTAAGAATATAAAAGAACTAAAAAAAAAAAAGTAGACCCCCCCCACTAAAATAAAAGACACAATCAGAAAATGTGCAACTGAAGTGGATAGATACTTCACAGAAGTACAAACGGCCAATAAATACAAGAAAAAAATGTTCAACATTGTTGGCCATTGCAGAAATGCAAATTAAAACACTGAAATATCATCTTACTCCAGAAAGAATGGCTATCAACAAGAAATCAAATAATAACCAAACGCTGGGAGGGCCAGGGTTTTAGCTCAGTGGCACCTCCTCTGCCTTGCAAGCCCAAGGTTTGAGTTTGATCCCCAATATCAAAACAATAACAACAACAACAAAAACAAACGCTGGGAAGGCTGTGGAGAAGGTTGCTACATTATGGTGGGAGGGTAAACTAGTACAACCACTATGGAAATCAGTGTGAAGGACCTCAAATAACTAAAAATAGAAATTCCACTTGACCCAACTATTTCCCTTTCTAGGTATCTTCCCAGAAGAGTTGACATCATATTACAGTGACCCATGCACATCATGTTTATAGCAGCACAATTTACAATAGCTAAATCTTGGAAGCAGTTTATATGTTCATCAACAGATGAGTAAAGAAAATGTACTTACACACAACAGAGAACTACTCTGCCATAAAGAAGGATAAACTTGAGTTATTAGTTAAAAAATGGATGCACCTTGAGACAATAAATAAGTGAAATAAATCAGACACACAAGTTTAAATATCTCATGGTGTCTCCTACATGAGAAGCCCAAAGTATAAATAATTTAAAGAGCAAATAAAAGATAAGAGAAGACAAGGAGATAGATCATTTGTAAATGGGAAGCCGACCAAGAGATGAAGGGGTGAGATGAAGGGGAAGTAAAAAGAATTAAGATGTGTTATGTACATGTACCAACTCCCCAAGATGAATGTAATCATTAGGTACTACAAACATATACTAATTAAACATTTTTATTAAAATTTTTCCTAAGTTTCAGATTTTACAGTAGTATGGATTTGAGATTAGGGCTGCTCAAATAGTACCAAGTATTTTGCCCAAAATTAGGTCATTAAATATTCACAATACTCTAATGTTCATATTATCACCCATCCAACTTCTAGTTGAAAAAAATGAGACAAACTTGCCAAAGTCACTCATCTAATAAGAGGAAGGATAGAAACTGAATCTAGAGCCTATGTTTCTTCTCTACACTCTGCCTTCCTTGCTCATTGGAAACAGAAATGACACAACTACCACCTCTTCCCTTGGAAGATCAAAGCCTTAACTAACTTTAAAGGATTTTCCATATCACTCATTTTATTTATTTATTTTCATACCACTCATTTTAAAATTCATATTTTTCTCCCCTGTCTCACTATGCATTCTTATAAAGAAAGCTATGGTATGAGGATGAAGGCAAGACAAGGAATGGAAAAAGCACAGATGTGGGCATCAGATAGATGTGGGTTTGATTCCTGGTTCTTATATCAGCTGTGCAATGTATCCTGAGTCTTTCTAACCTGTAAATTGATGTTAAAAATATTACACAAGAGAAATCTACATGTAATATACAGTAAATACTAAAGTTGAATTTGTTTCATATTATGAAGCATTCCCAAACCATCTCACCTCTTAGATGTTAACACACTACATTACTATCGCATCATAAAAAGAATCTTGTGCATTTATCACTCTGTTGAGATTATTAATTTCACTAAATTGAGCTCCCTGTGTGCCAAGATTCCTTTTTATTTATCTCTAAATTGTCTAATAAGGTATGTGGCCCATATCCATACTTGGTAAATGGTTGCTAACTGAATACCTAGTTATTTATTGGATTCTAAATAAGCAAGAAATCCCTATCAAGCTGGGACTGTCCCAAATTGGTTGAGGAGGGCCACTTCAGGCAGGCCATAGGCACCACCTTAATAAGCAGAAACAAAAAAGGGAAAAGCTTCTAAGTGGGGCAGAGAATAATCTACCAAAAAAAAAAAAAATGGACATAAGAAAGAACAAAGGTGATTCCTACCTACCTAGAGTAAAGGATCTTTGTAAGCATAACTGGACAGGAAGCCAGAGCCAGATCAGGAGGCGTAGAGAAGTATAGTCTGGTATACACAGTAGTTGAAGACAGGCATGAACACAGAGCCAAACGGAAAAGAGGGCCAGAGGCAAGCCTTACAGGCTCAGGCAGCTTCCTGGTATGTAAAACTGAAAAAGATGTAAACAATTATCACTTTAGCAAGAACTCTTGGGCTGGGGATTTAGCTCAGTGGTTCCGGCGCCTGCCTCGAAAGTCCCAAGGACAGGAGTTCGATCCCCCGTACCAAAAAAAAAGATGCCTCTTTTTCTGCTCCAATGGGTTATAACATTAGGGTTTTAACATCTGCTTATCAAAATAGAATTCGAATGCTGACTCCTTAATCTCTTTAAACTGATGTGTCTTTCCATTTGACTGTTCACACCTGGGAAAATTTGGAATTTGACTGATTGTAGTTTATAACAGCATGGTGCTTTGTGCAGTGCCAGGTTCCGGGACCACATTAAAAAATTACCTGCACTCATTCAGAATGAAGTTTTAACCAACTTCTGAGTCAATTTTGAGATCTCTGGTTAAAGTTATACTCTTGTTTAAACTATAACCTTTTTCTTGCTTATCCTTATACTGCCCTTGCCACTCTACAAACAAAAACAAAACAAACAATCAAACAAAAAAAGTGGAATCAAAGTCCTAGCAGCACTCTATGTAGAAAAGCATCTGTGAGGCTGTTTACCCCTTTGGGGGACTGGAAGAATGGGCACCAGAAGACAGGGACTACACCAGCAATGCTTAAAACTTGATTTCAAATTATGAAAATAAGTGCACCTAGATAATGCTGAGCGCAGGGCCAGAAACTGCCGGAGCCAAATGATCCCACCCACCCCTACCCCAACTCTACCAGGTCCAATAGCTGCTCCTCTAAATTACAAAGCCAGCTGTCAGGCTTGGGGCGCCTCTGTTTCTGGAGTCAGGAAAAGGATGCTCCCAGGCCACCTGAGCAAGGGCCTGACAGGCGACCCGCTGGGCAGTGCCGAGAGCCGGGCAGTGAGGGGGCCGTCAAATCACGCGGGTGGACTAGCTAGCGGCTGGGGCAACCTTTACCTGAAGCTGCTTCCACTCTATGGGCCGGGTCAGCCCCGGGATACGTTCCTGAGGAGAGGGCCCGGCTCCCCCACTCCTCCCGGCCCCTGCCCCAAACTCTGCACTCTCAGGATCCTCAAGGACCGGTGCTCCTACCGGCCCGCTCAGCTGCTCCTTCCTGGACTCACCCTCATGCCCCAGCTGTTCCCGGCCGCCGGCCGGCAGAGCAGAGGCCCTTTAGCCCCGAGTCGCGGCTACAACCCGGAACCGCAACCCCTCGCACCGGAAGTCCCCGACCGGGAAGGAGCCTCTGGCTGGGGACGCAGTGCGCAAGCCCCAGTGCCGGGAGCTAAGAGCGGCGCCCTCCCGGGGGGGCGGGGCCGGGCGGGAGTCCATGCGCATGCGCTCGGTTCTCCAGCAAAAGCAGGGCCTGGGGACTGAGATTGGCTCCGAGTTCGGTTAAAATAAGCCAGCCCCTGGGTTTGCCTACGGCAGAAATCAGTGTAAGGATCTCTGTCAAATATTTTCTTCCCATTTCCACGGAGAAAACTCAGTTCATCCAGAAATAAGTGACGGGGCACTTCATCAGAAAAACTCAGGGGTTCAGCGGGGCACAGTAGTGCTGCTCACCTGTAATCTCAGCTACTCTAAGGGATGAGGCTGGAGGATTGCAAATTCAAGGACTTCCCAGGCGATTTAGTGAGGACCTGCCTCAAAATTTTAAAAGTTTTAAATACTGGAGATGTACTTCAGTGATAAGCGCTTGGCTAGGATGTGCTAGGCCCTAGGTTCATCCCCGGACAGGGCAGAATAAAAAACATGAGTTCAAATGGCAACTCTCTAACTTGCTGCGTGTCTTAGAACAATACACCTCCCATCTAAGACTCGGCTTTCCTACCCATAACTGCTGTGAGAACTGAATAGGACAACGATGCGGTGATGCTTAAAAAACACTCATGTTTATTGTGCCTAACATAATAAATATGCAGTAACAGTTATCTCTCTTACATGTAAGTGGAAAATTATAATCTTTTTCTGGGGGTGAATCCAGAAACTTTACATTAAGCTACATTCCCAACCCTTTCTTTAACTTTGAGGCAGGGTCCCGCTAATTCACTAAGATGCCCAGAAGATGATGGTAATTTTTTTTTTCTTTCTTTTTTGTTGCTGGGTATCAAAGTCAAGTCCTTGAGTATGCGAGGCAAGCGGCGGCACCACTGAGCTAAACCCGCGGCCCAGATGATGATAATCATATTCAAGAACTGCCAGAAGGTTTCGGTAAGATGTAAGAAGACTAGCACCAAACAGGCACTCCATTTTTCTTTCTGTCTTTCTGGAATCAGTGACAAAAGCCATGGTGAAGCTGGGAAAGGGAGCTTATTCCCATTCAGGGAAACGATATATTTTCCTACCTGAGAAATCCCTCAAAATTGCATTTAGCAGGGCCGTGGGAACAGCATCATGCCTTCCTTCGCAAGCGCAAGGTCCTGAATTTGATTCCTGGTACCAGAAACAAACAAACAAAAAATGCATTTTGCAAAAGGAAAAAAAGTCGATTGAATTTCAGCTCGTGGGGGGCTTGCCCAGTTTTAAAGTCACCGATTGATATATTAGGGGCCCACCCATTTTCACATATGTGATTGGACTCTTCAAATTGTTGAAAAGCCTTGACGCCCAGATGCAGACCCACAGCACCGCAGTTCCACCAGGGACCTATTGGAGGCGCTGTGCCAAAGCAATAGGTGCAAACGTGTTTTGATGTTCCACTTGGTGTGGTTACCAGATTATGTGTCCTTTCCTTGACGCCTTTTTCTCTTACTCTAAGGACTGACCTCAGGCCTTGTGCATAGGAATCAAGTACTATACCAATAGCTACACTCCAGCCTCTTTCCTAGATCTGACTCTCCGTAATCTCCACTCTCCTGAGCTTCACTCTGAAGCCCAGCTGCCTGATTGCCCCTCAGACACTTAAAACTAAACTTGTCTGAAACTGACAGCTAAGCATTTATAGATTGTAAAGATGGAATATTCACTCTGCCACTTACTGGTTTTATGACTTCATCTCTCTATGCTGCCTCGCTAGATGTCCTTCTGTGTAAAATGAGAATGGCAAACCTAACTAACCTAGTTCTGTTGTAAAAATTAAATTAACTAATATGTGTAACTCACACAGAATAGACCCTGGCCCCTGGCTAACATTTACTGAATACATAACATTGTTACTACACCTCAGTGAGGAAACACATATTTACTGAGTACCTATTACGTGTTAATCTTGTTCTATGCACTTGAAATTCAGTTAAGAAGAAGCCAGATGATAGAGTCTGCCCTCAAGAAGCTTATAGTCAAGTTTGACTGTGGGTTTGAAATGATTATAGTGGCAACTCCCCAAGCAGGGATATGTGGCAAAATTTTAAAGACTATAGTGAAGGCCTAATGGAGAATGGAGACTCTGAATTTATGGTGATATGAACAAAATGATTCGTGTGATTTTTTTCCATAGCTAACTTGAGCAGTTACGATAAAAACACACACAATGAGAAATTGGATTAATCCAAGGATGGGTTTTTTCCCAGACAGGTGTAATGAGGTCTCAGAACAGTTGTAATGCAAGGCGGGGAGATGGAAATTATCATCAGAGGAAGATATCTTAAGCCAGGGGCCCCTAGCCTCCAGACCACAGATCAATAGGGGTTCACAGAAGGAGGTGAGTGGCAGGGGAAGCAAGGGAAGATTAGTGTGTATTTACAGCTCCTGGTACCTTCTGAGCTCTGCTTCCTGTCAGGTCAAGGGTGGCATTAGATTCTCATAAAGTGCATGAATCCTACTGAGACTGGTGCATAGGAGAGATCTGGGTTGCACGAGCTCTTTATGAGAATCTAATCCTGAATCCATCCCCCACCCCTTGGCCTTCCCACTCAGCCCCACCCACTCCACACATCCCACCCCCACCCCTGGGGTTGTGAAAAAACCATCCCCCATGAAATCAATCCCTGGTGTCAAAAGATGGAGGGCTGCTGTCTTAAACCAACAAAGCCAAATGAAGAGTCAGGTGAGTGGGTTCCTGGTTCAAGTGGAGTGGAGGAAAAAAAAAAGTCACTGAAGATGAGACAGTCAAGGAACCTAGATACTTATGGGCCTCCAAGTTCCCAGGATCATGTATAGCTGGGGGTGAAAGGAAACCCAGGGTGCTTCCCAAGCTATTCTCCAACTGAGGAACAGCACGGGGCGTCCGTGAGGAGAAACTGAGTAGATAGCATTGAGACCCCAAGAAGCAGGAGTTGGATCAGAGGGCAGAAGTGACATTAAAGAACAAAGCACAAGCCTAGTGCAGCAGCATATGCCTGAAATCCTAGCTACTGGGAAGGCTAAGGAGGCTTGCAAGTTTGAGGTCAACTTAGGGAGAACCTGTCTCAAAATAAAACCAATTTTTAAAAGGTGGGAATATAGCTCTGTGATGGAGCACTTGCCTAGCATAAGCAAGTCCCTGGGTTCAAGCCCCAATTCTATTTAGGGAAAAAATGAGCAAAGCACATACTGACTTATCTCCTGAGCCAGGGGTACCCCATGGTAGGACCACGAGGGCTGACACAGAAAAATAATGCCATGCTGATGGTGACTCCAGTAGCCATGAAGGTGGAACAACTTACTGCTTCCCAGCCTTCATCTCTAGCTTGGACAGCAAGTCCCGTTAGAGGCTAGATGTGCCTTTTCTTCTGGTTCACAGGACTAGAAGGAGGATGATGTGCAGAAGTTCAAAGACACCTACTGACTGTGCGGCCTTTAACAAGTTACTTGTCTTTTCCATGTCTCTGTTCCCTCATCTAGGTTGTTGTGAGGACCCAGCGAAGTGGTACGTGGAGATTCCTCAGGACAGTGCCTGGTACCCGGGAAGTGTTCCACAAATGCTCGCTCTGGTGGCTGGCATGCCAAGATGGACAGCAAAGCTCAAGTCCCTTGGACATTTCCTTCCCTTGCATCCTGCTCATGCCTCAGTTTCCCTTTCCCTTTCTACTCAGTAAACTCCTATTCATTTTTTTTAGTGGCTTAAAGAAACAAGCACTGCTTATTTCTCCAGATCTCATGGGCCGATGGGTGGCTCTCCTGCCAGTCATGCCTGGGCATGCTCACACAGCTGCCAGAAGGTGGCTCAAATGGTCAAAGGACTAAGATGATTTCACCCATATGACGGCAGGTGTTGGCCAGGGCACCTTGGCTTTTCACCTTGTGGTAACCTAGTGTCTGTCTTGGCTTTCCACATCACATAGTTGCAAGACTGTGAAAGGATAAGCCCTAAGGCGCAAGTGATTTTAAAAAAATTATTGTGAATCTACATATGCACCATTTTAACCATTTCTAAGTGTATTCTGTTCATTCTTGAAGACCCTATGCCATCCCAAATTACCAGTCCCATAGCAGGCCACAAGAAGAGCTTCAGTCTCTGAAGGCACCATCTATCACACTTTCTCTTGATTTTGGTGGGGGAGAGTACCAGGGATCAAACTCAGGACCTTGCGCTTGTGAGGCAGGCAGCAGAACCACTGAGCTAAATCCCTGGCTCTATCACACTTTCTCTTGATTTTGGTGGGGGAGAGTACCAGGGATCAAACTCAGGACCTTGCGCTTGTGAGGCAGGCAGCAGAACCACTGAGCTAAATCCCTGGCTCTATCACACTTTCTATTGTTGTTTTAATTCCACTGCTGACAGGTCACAAGGAAAGGGATGTTTCTTTTTTCTTTTTGTTTCCTTAAAGTTTACACTTGGAGTGTAGCTCTGTGGTAAAGCATTTGCCCAGCATTTTCAAGCTTCAAATGCTGCAAAACTTAAGTTCAACAAAAAGGTGCTTACAACACATACATTAATGAAGCAAGGAGAAATAGTTCTCTTTTTAAATTTTTCCAGTACTGGGAGTTGAACCCAGAATTTTCATTAAACTAAGCTACATCCCCAATCCTTTTTAAAATTTTTTTTTTTTGGTATCAGGGATTGAACTCGGGTCCTTGCACTTACGAGGCAGGCAGCGGAACCACTGAGCTAAATCCCTGGCCCCCCAATCCTTTTTTTTTTTAAAGATAGTGTCTAAGTTACCCAGGTAGGACTTGAATTTATAATTCTCCTGCTTCAGCCTCCCAAAAGGCGGGGATTCACTCCCATTGGAAATCCCCCCAGAAGTGTACAATATCAGAACAATGTAGTGTTTTTTAAAAATTTAAATATATTTTTAACATAAATAATTTTAGAGCAGATTTACTGCTTATGAGGTAAGTTTGGTGTTTAGGAGGGAAGCACAAAATTAACCAATCAGAAAATCCTAAACATAACCTCTTTATTTTATACATTTATGGTTTGGTTTTTTGAGACAGGGTCTTACTGTGTTGCCCAGGCTGGCCTTGAACTCACAGAAATCCTCAGACCTGAGAGTGCTGGGATTGCAGGCATGCGCCACCAAGGCCAGCAGTAGATAATTTTTAACTTGTGGGATGGGGATGTAGCTTGGCGGTCATCCATTTACTTGGCATATGTTGGGGCCCTAGGTTTCATTTCCAGCATCTTTTTGAGACAGGGTCTTACTGTGTTGCCCAGGCTGGCCTTGAACTCACAGAAATCCTCAGACCTGAGAGTGCTGGGATTGCAGGCATGCGCCACCAAGGCCAGCAGTAGATAATTTTTAACTTGTGGGATGGGGATGTAGCTTGGCGGTCATCCATTTACTTGGCATATGTTGGGGCCCTAGGTTTCATTTCCAGCATCCAGCATACATTTTGTTGTTTTGTTGCAGTACTGTGGATTGAACTCAGGACCTTTTGCTTGCAAGGCAGGTGCAGTGCCACTGAGCTAAATCCCTGGCCCTATATGGAGTTTTCATGCTGCATATTATTTCTGGTGTGTAACCCTATTTAGCTACGTGGGGTGAAAATACAGCATCTTGCTGGTATTATAATGTCCCTGTAACTATACTTATATACAAATGTAGTCCCTTCCTGAAAATCAGGCCCTGTAACCAGTTTCTAACAGTGTCTTTCTTATTTCAAAGGTTAGCTTGTACTGTGAGTGCCGATCCCTAAATTAATTGCTGTTAACAGTACTTAGAATGTAAAAAACTGACTTGTATGCTTTGTCGAATGCAACTTCCAAGAATGCATAATTAACAGTGTCTTCATTAATATACAGTATGTTCAACTGTGAGACACCACTCTCATAAATAAAGGTAGACATGGATAAATTTATAATTAAAAATGCATTAGAAATTACAAGCATAATTTATTTACTAATGTGCACTGGAATAAATTTTATGTGTAATATTTTAAAACAGGGCATTAATAAATAATAGTGAACATAAAATGTTTTCACAGCTAAAAATATTTCAATAAATATTAGTAAGTTAAATGTGCTGCAGTTATAATTGCCATGAAGTAAAGTTTATAGAATACAATCACAATGTACAGCACTGTTTCTTCGATGTATTCAAAATATGAGAAACAAATAGCTCTATTTCTTTGAATCTGACAAATAGTGTATTGAAAGTAGTGCCTGCAAATATCTTAAAAAGAAAAGGATAGGACAAGCAGAGTGTGATGGAGCATGTCTGCAATCCCAGTACTCAGGAGGCTGAGGCAGGGAGATCACTGTGAGTTCAAGTCCAGCCTAGAATACCTAGTGAGTTCAAGGCCAAGCCTGAACTACACAGAGAAATCCTGTCTGAAAAAAACAAAACAAAAAACAAAATAAAACAAAACAAAACCAAAACATGGGGCAACCAAATAGTAAATAGCTGATCTTTATTTGAGACAACCATAATCGTTATGAGTGAGTTCATTTCCAGATCAGTAGATTCAAAGCTGTGCAACTGTTTGCCCCACAGTAACTTGAAGCAATTTCTCCCATCTGAGAGCCTTGATAATTTTTTTCTCTCTAATTTTTCATTCAAAATTTGACACTATCACGTCCAAGGTTATAGCTCAGTGGTAGAGCACTTGCATAGTATGTGCTGAGGCCCTGGATTTCATCCTCAGCACTGAAAAAAGGAAGACAAAGAGGGAGAATCGACCTTGCATTGGTGTGTGTGTGTGTGTGTGTGTGTGTGTGTGCGTGTGTGTGTGTGTGTTGCTAGGGACTGAACCCAAGCTGTACCCCTCAGCCATACCCCCAGCCCTGTGCTTTTGCTCTTTCAAGGACAAACAATTCTTAGACTCCAGGACCTGTTCTAGGTACTCACATTTTCTACCAACTTCTTGCTGTTAACCACTTTCTTGACTCCGTTTTATTAATTTTATGTTTAACTTTTGGAGTGTTCACGTCTCATGTCCTCTGTGGAACGAGAAATCCCATGACACACAACAGCATCTGCTCTGTGCACCTGAAAATCGAGCTGATGTTCGTGTGTAGAATTGTTGGGTTTTTCCCAGGCGAGACTGGAGTTTACTGAGTCAGGAATGGTACCTGTCCCTAAGCCCTACTCTGTGTCAGGCTCTGGGCTACAATTCAGTCCTTGAAACAGTTTCCCCCGAAAGAGATGCTGTTATTATCCTCATTTAACAACTGAGGAAACTGAGCCTCAGAAAGAATCACTTGTTCAGGATCATACAGTTTGTAAACTGGCTGACTTGAAACACTTAAAGTGTGTAATCCCCCCCAGTAAGAATCAGCAGACTGTGTTCTTAAAATAACCATGTCCTTCCTCTAAATCACGTTTCCATCCACTGTCTTGCCGTCCTTTCAGCTGGGTTTTATTTTCTCTCCATTGATATCTAATCTAAGTCGCTCCTGCTCCCATTTAAGATAATTCCCTCATGTCCTGTCCTCAGTAGACAAGAACTGATGTTTAAAACACATGAGCCATATCCCTTTAGAAATTTGAAGATGGCTTTTAAATGCTCCTTAACCTTCTCTTTTCCATGATGCATTATTATAACCCCAATTCATCTGGCCTTTTCTCCCAGGGACTTTCTAAAGCATCGAGCCAAACTCCTAGCAAGCAGTCACCAGTTTTCCATATCTCAATTCATTCTTGTCACCTTCAAAGATCGCTCACATGCTGAATTTGTACAAGCGAGGAAAGCAGATGTGGCCTAGGCTCTGACAAGGTATCTGAGTCTCTAAAAAATGGTCTCTTAGGGCTGGGGATTTAGCTTAGGAGTACTGTGCCTGCCTTTGCAAGCACAAGGTCCTGAGTTCGATCCCCAGTACCTGAAAAAAAAAAAGGCTCTTAAAATCCTTCCTGTATTTGCATCACCTTTCCACCTTACCCAGGACAACTTACTAACCTAAGTATAACCTGAGGAGGGGGGTCAGTTGTCATAGCATCCCTGATAATTCTCATGGTTGGGCGCCTAGTAGATGTTCAATAAATACTAGCCTCATAGGGAACGGTAATGTGTCCTCCAGGATAACAACCTCCTCTACACGTACTGAGTGACTCTAGATAGTTGTCCGCCTATATTGATGGTCCAGAGAAAAATGTAATAGGTTCAATAAATATTTCCGGAATGAAAATTAAATGCAGTAAGTGGCTATTGATAGAAGAAGGTATGAATACTGTCAACCAAAATGATTTTGAGCAAAACAAGTGTCTGAAACAATAATGAACAAACACTAGCTCAGAAGCAAAACACCACAATAAGTGGCCTGAAAGCTGAATCTATAGTCTTGGCCCGCTTAAAGCTTTTCTGCTTCCTTTTAAAAAATTGGAAAGCTGCGACAGACAGCATCAAGTCTGCAGCCTGCTTGTCAACAAGCCCACCCTCCTGCTGGGTGGTGGATGTGATGAAGGCCAGGTGGCAGCCACCATTTATCATGACACTTACACAGTGGCTTTTCTCATGCTTGGTCTGCTGTTCTCATTTGCTTGACCTGCCTGACTCTCTAGGGTCTTCATTTGGAGTCCCTGGTCTGGCTTCAGGAAGCAGCCTAAGATCTCCTCTGCTTTTACATAGCAGAGACATTGGGGGGAAGGGGGAGAGAGATGGGGGAAATCTCAGAACCTGCTTCTAAGACAACTCGTTCTTCTCAAAGTGCAGGTACAGTTTCCCGCATAATCTGGGTGTGATACTAGAGGGAGATGCTCTAGAAAATAAACAGGAAGTTGGGATCTATAAATTATCCACC